CCCCAAAACCCCAAAACCCCAAAACCCCAAAACCCCAAATATTGGCAACAGGTTGAAAAGTTGAAGGCACAAGAGTCTCTATGTAAATTAAGTCTTTTTAATAGGCTCTTCTGTGTCCTCACCAGTTTTAGCCCTCTTTGAAGGGTCTTCGCCTACATCTGCACTTGGTCTCTTCTGAGCAGGTTCTGGAGCTGGTGCAGGTGCTGGAGCAAGCAATGGAGCTGAAGGAAGTGTCTTTTCCAAAGAAGGTTGTTCTTGTTTGGTGTCTTCCATCACTCTATCTTTTGACTCTTCACGAGCAGGATTCCCAACGTTAATGGATGCAGAAATATCAAAGACAATTTTTGGTGCAGAATTTTGGAGTAGATTCGGACTTGATTTTTCAAACTCTATTGGCTGATGTACATAATTCTCATCTAATGGGTAAACAAAGTTCTTACCTAAAATACTTTTTGTCCTTCCCTTCGAGTTACCATCGGATTTTGGTGAGGAAATGCTTTTGAAAATATTCGAATCAATCTGGATCTTAGAGCCATTATTGGGAGATACTTTTGGTTTGATTAGTAAACTATCTTCCTCAGGCTCGTTAGAAGAGTTTTGAGACAAAAAGTCAAATTTCTTATATTGCTCTTCTTTTTCCTCCTCTCTGAAACTTAAAGAGCTCATATAAGCTTCCTGGTTGGCCTTTTGGTCTGCTGCTGAGTCCTCATACCCATCGAATATATTATCCCCTTCCTTCTGGGCTGCATCAACCTTCTCCTTATATTTATCAGCTGCTCCCTTCAAGTATGGGTGGACTACTTCAAATTTGTCGCACAGGTATTTTGCTAGGTCATAATGTTCCTTCTTACAGATCAGGGAGAATAAATCATATGCGATGGATGCAATCAGGTTCTTTTTGTTCTCTATTTTCTGGTATACCTCTGCAACCACATCTCATAAATTAAGCTTAATCATTTCTGTCACATACGGCTTGAAATTAATTGCTATCAGTGTTTTGTAGAACTTGAGTAAGCACATTGCTTGAATTTTGCTATCTGAAGTAGCCATTTCATTTACCTTCTGGAAGATCTCATGCTTGTGGAGATAACTACTCACAATATAGTTGTCCTCCATTATGTTTCTGTTTATTATATCCACTATTAAGGACTTAGTCAAATCAACAAGAGTGTTATGCTCTTTATCGTCTTCTTTATACTTTTCCGGGAGATATTCAGAGAATAGCGGGAAAGATACTTCATAAAAGGTAGATCCTAGTGATTGGTCATTATCTAAGATGAACTTCAATAACTCATGTATCTGGAGTTTTAGCCCTTCATTCTGGGTTTTAATCATATGATCTGTGAGTGTCATGAACAACTTCTTCGGCTCTTCCTTATTTTTATTAGTATCACATATGTCAACTAATGAATTTGTAGCACCAATGATTCTTGAGGCTTCTGAAGAATTTATACCCAAAGAGGGTGCTCATAGAAGCAAGCTTTGAAGAATATCTCAACAATTGATTATAAATTTATCAGATTCCTCCCGATCTTCCTTTGAGATATCACCAAGATCAGCAAGATCATTGTTGTATTCTATTCAGTTTCTAATAAATACCGACAGATTGAAATCCTCAACTTTCTTGAAGGAATCCAAGAGCTTAGAATTTCCAGGCATCTGACATGACTTTGAGAGGGCTATAATCTCTAGAAGGAAGGTTAGAGATTCCTTTCTAGCATCCATATCTTTCTCTTGGATCTGTTTAAAAATCTTCCCCATACAGTCCCCGTCACTGAGGATTGCTTCGACCAACTCAGAATTAGTCTTTGAAATGAGATTTCCCACAACCTGGATGCTATTATCATCAAGACCGATCGCAAGGGCGGTATCCTTGAGATAATTTAGCCTGAAGCTCAGGTCGATCTTCTCCGTAATTGATTCCGAATTAAAGTGTATGAAGCTCTTCTTCTGAGCTTTCTTCTGTAGAAACTATAGATATTACAAATAAAACTCACATTTCTATGCTTTGTTTCCTCATTTTTATTGTTGATTTCCGGGTTATACTCCAATGCTCCAAATACAGTAAGGTAATAGTTGTTGCTCATCAGAATTTCAAGAATATTAGGATCATCAAAGTTGAGAAACTCTTTAAAAATCATGAAAATTTTCTGTCAGGTATTTTCACATTCAAGATCCTCATGCGTCTCAAAAATATCCTTTAGCTTAGAGAAGTACTCCACTTCTTTCTCATCAGTTTTGATGATTTTTGAAGTATACCTCTTTCTCCGTTCAGGATCAGGGATCTGGATAATCTCAATGATCTCATCTAGGTTGTCGGCTTTAGGGAGAGGCAAACTCTCATCGTCTGATTCCTCATCGGACATCATATCTCCACACCCTATAGAGTTGTAAAATCAAGCATTTAAGAAGTAATGGCCAAATTTAGGTGAAAAGGCACACTAAAATCTTGATGAATCCATGGAAATGAAGAAATCTTACCTAGAGCTTCCCAGGTCTTCTGAGCCCCTTCTAGTTCTTGGAAGGATATTGCAAAGTCACACTGCTGTTCTTCATCCAGCCAAGTGATGATAGTGTCTCTTTGTCGATGGTAATTTGGAGGGCATGCTAAATAAAGTGAGTAATAGAGTAAATCAATCTGAATTAGTTCTCAAAAATATGGGTAAGTTATCCCAAGAAGGAACTTTCTAAGCTTTACTTACCAACTTCAGTGTCAAGAAGCTTTGTCTCCTCATTTTCTTCTGAAATTATCACTATTCTTTCACTATAGAAGAGTCAGATTTGTGTAAGAATTTGTGAAATTTTGGCCTTAAAGGGATTTTTAGAGTGCTTATCACATCAAGAGTTGAGCTAATACAGGTGATCAGCCTAAGAGTGGTGAAAATCTTTTACTATGACCTCTATTGACTAAAAACATAGGAAAATATCATCATTGCTGTCAAAATTTGGAAAAGGTACTAAATCTTGACTTCTAATCCTCAAAATCTGATCGAGAAGCACCATGGTCTTCATGATTAGACAAGTTAATGAGCTACTCGCATGCTTACCTATTGCCTTGGATTGAGCAGTATCCAGTGCCTAGGTCATTCCACCCACCATCTTCGTTAAGTTTGTACAGCTTTGCTCTGAACCTATTTGCTTCTTCAGGCTGGCCGTTCTCCTTTACCTCAGTCTCTCCTGGTTGTTCCTCTGGATTAATTCCTTCCTGCAAGTTGCTTGGTTCTTTCTCGACTGCTGGCTCTCCTGTTTGCGTATTTCCTTGATTTTCCTCCATTTATATAATAATTCAATAAATTAGTATAACTCAGGGGTTTTGGGGTTTTGGGGTTTTGGGGTTTTGGGGTTTTGGGGTTTTGGGGTTTTGGGGTTTTGGGG